GTTCATAATGATCTTCCAACAAATGATTGGACAACACTTTTTCAACTTCTTTCAGAAGATAAATCATATCAAGGTGTGGCTAATGGTTATTCATTTTATCAACAATGTCTACCCAAAAATAGTCTTTCGATGGGTTTTACAGCTTCTTCAATGCATTGGTTATCAAAAATACCATTTAATATTACAAATCATTGTTTTCATACATATGGTGAATTGCATGAACGTCAAGCATACAAACATCAAGCAAAACTTGATTTTAATTCATTCATAGAACATCGTTCTAATGAACTTGTATCTGGTGGTATTCTTGTTCTTAGTATTCCAAGTTATGATGATCAAGGAATGGAGAGTATGAGCAATTATTTCGATCAATTATATATATGTGCTCAATCATTTTTCAATCAACAACAATTATCAAACTTTACAATTCCTATATATCTTCGTTCATTATCTGAATGTATCGATAATGAATTATTCGATCGATGTTCATTAAAATTGATTAAAGCTGAATTAAGTCAATTGAAGGTGCCTACACTTGAACTATATCACAATGGTCAGTTAACATTTGATCAATTGGTAAAAATATTCACAAAAGTATTTCAAAGTACTATGGATCCTTTAATTAAACAAATATTGGGAATGAATGCACGTTCTAAAGAAGAAACTGATAAATTATCAGGAGAGTTTTGGATGGTATATGAAGAAAAGCTAAAAGAAAGACCGGATCTAGTTATCAATGGTAATCAATATGTATGTGCTTGTTTGATATTAAAAAAAATATAAAAGAATGACAAATGAAACTTTTATTTTTTACATTTCATAATTCATTTTATTGTTAACTATCTAAATTTTTTTCGATGCATACATTTAAAAAAATAAAACTTATTTTATCCAAATTGATTTAGACAATAGCATTATACCAATGACATTAGTAAAAATATGCTAAACATTGTCTATCGCCTTCACTCACAGAATTGTTGTGAGTTTGACGAACGATGAAACAAGTTACAAATCTCATCGTTAGCTGTTACTTCGTACTTAGTGAAACCTTCAAGAGTGCACTTCTATTTGATTCGAGAGAATGGATCAGTGGATGTGACTGTGAGTATCGGTACAGATGTATTTGAGAGTAGGCATAGGGTGTGAGTATGG